TGAAATAACCAATATAAAAGAATTTTCATGACATTAATCCATATAATATCCTGTAATTTCTTAAATTTAACTATTCCAAAATATAACTGCAACAAAATCACAACATAAAACACACATCACTGCCTTTTGTAATCATGTCCACACAAACATGTATATGCACAAAAGCTGAGTATCATCTACCATGAATTCAACTGTGAAAGCAGAATAACATATCATAGTTTTATTACTTCAAAGCTTATTCAAATTAAATTTCAGTATTAAATGACCCATAAGGAATTGATATGCCGCTAAACAGACAATCGATCAATCATTATATAGGCATCAAATATGCTCCAGATGAGTCCCAAATTTGAAATTTGCATGGAAGGAAATCACCCAATTCATTGGTCAAAAAGTGTATCTCTTTTTGAAATTTGAAAATCAAATCTTAAACTGTCCACCTTAGACTGATTTTATTGGTGGCTTTTTTTTGAGTGTGGTGGGAGCCAGTATCAGAAAGTTTGAAGAACAAATGTTTCACGTCAAATTTATTAGTTAATTTTTTACTAACCCTCTGTCTTTCTTTTATTTATTTTAAACACTGCTCTTAAAAGCAAGTGTAATAAACAAATTTCATTTATTATAATATTTATTTATTTCTTATCTTTTTATTAATCATTTATTTAATTTATTGTCCCCTCAAGACAAAGAGCACTGAACTGACCGAGTTTATTGCATTATTTTTTTATTATTTTATATTCACTTTTTAATTATTTTACATTACTTTCTTCTAAAATTTTTTATAGTCCAGCACAATAAAAAGTTTTAATTGAATTTCTCATTGGTAACTCAAGTTAGGCCAGTTTACTTTAAAAGTAACTCCATAAGTCACAAGTTAGTAAAATTCAAAATTGATTAGTGCTAGGCTTTCAAAAGTAGTCCAATCTGAGAAAACCTGGTGAAGAAAGAAAATTTGGCAATTTCCTTAAGGAAATCGATTACAAAAGTGGAGCATTAAAAGGTTAATCTCCTGACCTGGCATTTCGTCTTCAGCCACTTTCCATTGCCTTAAAGTGCCTGTACTGTTTCTATAAATACTTTCATGGTAATTGTTCAGATGAACTTTTCTCTATAGTACCTAGACTTTATGAATTTAAGCACAGTATTAGATTAGCAACAAGGTCCCACGGTTTGCAGTTGAATTGGCTAGATGTAACAGTAAGTTCTTGCTAACAGTTTCTTTTATTGCACTTCTCACTTGTGGAACTCTCTTCCAGTTTCTTGCTTTCCAGACAAGCTTGAACTTCAAAAATTTAAATGAAATGTCAATCGTTATCTATTGTCTTCTGGATAACTCTTCATTTTGTTCTTGCTCAGCATTAATGCTTCTGTTGTCTAATTCTCTCACACCCAGTAACTCTATGTGTCTTAGTGGCTTTATTGCCCTACATGGGTGAATCCAATTAGAAAAGAAAAAAAAAACCTACTCTTGCTAATGGTCTGTCAGGGTTAAAGTTAGTAGTCATGATATCCCAATATAGAAGACCCCCAAATTACCCAATTAAGATCCAACTTCTCTACTTCAACTACAGGAATTTGTGGAGAGCCATGATTGCTTACATCCTGAAGAGACATGGTACATATAATAAGATGAATAAGTTTGAGTAAATGTATGGCAGGACAGGGTTTAAGAGATATAACAAAAACACAAAATTTATTAAGAGCTTCAAGAGACGGGAAATTGTGGAGAGCCATGAATGACAATGTTCTGAAGGGACATGGCACATAGAAGAAGAGGAATAAGCTTGTGTAAATGGATGATGGAACAGGGTTTAGGAGAAATAACAAAGACAAAATTTATTAAGAACTACAAATAACAGGAAATTGTGGAGAGCCATATATGGCACACAGAAGAGGAATGCATGTTTCAAATGATAAAGTATAATAGTGCAGAGTAAACTGTAATCAGTAGTCAGTAATTGCTTTTGATTCACCTGACAAATTAAAATAATACAATGGTCTTGAACATAATGTAAAAATAATGGAGAATTTCACAAAGGACTTCTGTTCTATAACATTAATGCGATGATGATGGAACTCTTTAGTGTGTGAGTCAAGAAAAGAGAATCAGTCAACATGTCACCCGAGGCAGATGACATGGAAATCCCTGTCATGGTTTCTGATCTTCCATCAACAGTACCACTAAGGAATGCTGGGAGCAAAAGGGATCATGTGGGGCTGTTTTGTGTCATTTTCAAGTTACTTTTCAGCAGCCAATCATATAGTTTATCTTTCTACCTTAAACCCAGTTGAACAACTTCAGTTTGGTTTAGTTTGGTTTGTTTTACGGGATATCAACCTCAGTAGGTTATTTAATGCCAACAAAATTTTTATTGCTAGTAATATTTTTTTCTTCAAAAATGTATCGCCGGTTAATACTTTTTCAAAAATGTATAGCTGGTAATATATTTTTCTTCAAAAATTTGTTGCTGGTAATAATTTTTTATAAAGTATTTCTGGTATTAAAACATATTTTTACACTTTTTTGACCCCAGCTTGGGGATTAGCTATTTACCCATAGCTGGGACCTTAACAGGTGCTACCACCTGGGGTCAAGGTGAACCTGGGAACACCAGCAATTAAGAGGTGGTTCCATGTTCCTCAAAACCTCCTGATCAGAGGTGTTGTTGTTGGATATAGTTTATTGTCTTATGCAGGACATGGATGTAGTTTATCATCATACCCAGGATGTGGACACTTCATTGTATTTATCTTTTTTTCAGCAATATCTATGTAATGAATTACTAAACTAAATTACTAAATAACCCTCAATCATTATTAGTAGACTATGTAGTGGTTTAGGAGAAAAATAACTAATAATAAAAGAAAAATTAAAAGTTAACAAATAAAAATACTTTAAAATACAAGATATGAATTAGAGTTAGCAATAAATAAATAAAATGTTAAAAATAATATACAATATTCCCATGTGGCATTAGAACAAGCAATTTACCTCCAAAAGAAAAATCTAAACTCTTTCTTTTCACTTTGGTCACTTAAGAAAGCAGACATTCTAGACAATAGTTATAAATAATCAAGAGTGGTCTCCTCTTGTTTTGTTACTCTCCTCCTTGACAGAGCTATTTCTGTTTATTGGGACTATAAAAGGACACTATATGCAAACCCTGTATTCTCAGTTGGATAAACTTTTCTTAAAGCCTACATCTGCATACTTTTGTCATTACAACAATCTCTGATAAAATATGTTGCCAACTACAGATAAGCATACATTTCTTTATTTCTGTTTTTACCAAAATTATATACATATATGTTCTTTGAATAATACAATAATTCCTTTGAAATGTATCTTTAAGATATAAAAGAAAAACTAAAAAAACGAATGAAAACGTACACTACAAATAGAGGAAATTACTAACAAAACACTTATTTCTCTAATTAATCATTGTAAAGAAAAACTTAAATACTTAAAAATGTTTCTGAATTATAACAAGTTATCTATACCTTCAATGTTACTTATTGTGTATTACTTGACATGCTGAAATGTATAATAAATCAATTTATCATTTTTCCTATGCCTATAAAACACAAACTGTTTTTGAATTGTATTTCATTATACCTCATGTATATTTTTGCTTATAATATTACAATCCTGTTGTGATCAAGTAATGCTCTTTTCAACCCTAAAAACATATAAAAATAACATTCAAACAAGGACAACGTATCACTTAGCCCCACATGTCAAATTATTAACCAACTAAGCACAGAGCATGCAAATCAAGAAACTTAAAATCAGTAAAAATGTCAAGTGAACATGCTAGTTGCTTGATTTAATAATGTTCTTCTGTAGTGAGAAAGGTTGAGGCACCTTCACTGAAAAAACTACCTTGAATTTTTTTAGTAGTGCAGCCCACCTTATGATTACCCATATCTGATGCGGCCCACTACTCAGAAAACGTTGCTCATGTCTACTTTAATTTAAACTGAAATTACAAAACATTTTCCCTGTATTGCGACAAGGACATTGTTACTTGTTCTTCCAGCAGTTTGTCAAAAAAAAAATAAAATAAAATAAAAGATAAAAAGTAGGCTTTCTCTTAAGTCTCTAGAATATGCACTATTCTTTTTTCAGCAATCTTTATCTGATGTGTCAAATTAACAAAGTACAACCTCTATACTAGATGTGTTTCAAAGTACATTAGTGAATTTAAAGATTAACTGAATTTTCTAAAAGTATGCTTACTGTTTACTTCAAAACAGAATGAAAATAATGTTTTATTTAGATATGCTAGCATATGAGGTCAAAGGACAAGGTAGAAAAACACTCATTCTACCCCTATCACAAAAAGAGCAGAAAGAGTAAAAATAACTTAAAGTACAGAAGGCCAGCAGTGTAATAATCAAGAACTTATTATTTATGTTCAAAACTAAATTTTCTTTAACCTTATATAACCAATAGTTTAAGAAGAATGTGTTTCTTTTATTCTATATGCTTTTAAACTTAGTATAATGAATAATTTTATTTTTTATGCTGATTGAATGGGAGGTATGAAATTATCATAATAGTCAGCCCATACCGATTAGTAGTCCGTCAACGCGAGATAACATAATTATTTTCCTTTTTGTACATCCATATCAAAAATAATCTAACAGTTGCAAAAGGAAAAAAAATTCTTTAAAAAAAATGTTCATACTCAAAAATGACATTAAACTTTATATTTTTTAAAATCTTCAAACATTTCTAAAATAAACTTTTGTGACGAGAAAACCTACTTTTTTTATCGTTTTTTGACAAACTGCTGGAAGATCAAGTGATGTCCTCGTCACAATGTGTATTTATTGTTAAGGAATAATTACCAACAAGCAAGTTAGACTTTTTAGTAACTAAAGTCTAACTTGCTTGGTGCTAATTAACCCTTAGCAATATAAATAAACATCTGGTCTCATGTTGCGCTATAGTGGAACTCTTTAGTATGTGAGTCAAGAAAAGACAATCAGTCAACATGTCGGCCGAGGCAGACGACATGGAAATCCCTGTCGTGGTTTCTGATCTTCCATCGACAGTCCTAACCGAAGAACTCATATCAGATTATGTAGAATACTTAAAAGTAGACAGTTCTCAAGAGGTATGGATTATAAAATCCCAGTATTTGTCGCAATGATCGAATTCACACTCATTTAAATCTTAAATACCCACCCACCATCTTTCGACTTGTTTCAGTTTCAATGTTTTACGTTGACTGTAAAAAGAAAAGTTTTAACAGAAAAAAACAAAAACAGAACACATATTTTGTTTTATGTTATTTAAAGTAACGATCGTAAATTGATTTTTTTTACCTTTAAAAGATTCATTCATTACTTATTTTTCTCTTTCTGTTAAATAAATATTTATTTGGTCATTCTCCGTTTAGTTTTCTGTTTTTTGGTGTATTGGTGTAACTGTAAATAATAAAAAAATGTCCTCAAAAATAAAATTCTCGATTTGTTTTGGGGAAAAAAGATTATCGAAAAATGAAAACGAACAATGAATTAATTAAAAATAAATGTTTGAGATTCAAATTTTGTAAGTCCATTTTGAAATCTTAACAGATCTTTATTTTTCGATACAGATAGAAAATAAAAAAAATCATTTCTTCTTTTGACCACGTTCTTTTTTGGTAAGCCTAGAAAAATTATAGTTATATTTATAATTTATTATATTATTATTATTATAATATATAAGATTAATTGGAGTAAAAGTTTGTTACTTAGTTGATTGATGTTATATAGCTTCAGCATCCCGACTCTAGAGTTTCATAGGCGGACTTGTCCGTCCACTCTTCAGGGGTTTTATCAACAATACACATACGCACACGCACACCCACAAACTATTATTTTTTTATATCATTAGGTTAAAAAAAATTAAACGCTGCAATGTTTGTTTGTTTTTTTTTTTTATCGAACCGACTCGCGATAATATTTGGAAAGTAAATACTAAATATTGACAAGTTTTTTTTTAAGTTTTTTAAAATATGACTCAGAAAAACGACAAAGAAAAATTTTACTTTGTGACAGAGGGTCTAATTTTTTTTCTTTTTATTTAATCTTTCTTTTTTTCTTTATTTATAGATTCCTTATTTAAATGCCCACTTATATAAACTATTTTTTTTTTTTTTTTTTAGAAAAGATTTTGTGGCTGACTGATAGCTTAACCAGGTCTATCTCTAGTCTAACCCTAAAATCACTAGCACGCCCCACTTCATAAATTTGATGTTGACTAATTTTAGTATGCAAATTCTTAGTTGGACCAACTGCTTAAAACTTAAAGGGAGCCTCCCCACTCAAAACACTGGCAATGACCAGCTGCTTATTCAAATAATACAAAACTTTTGTGTTTTCTGGATAAAGCCTATGGTCAAATCATGCTGAAAACATTGGTTCTTGTTTGATCATTGAAGCAGCATCAAGCCCGGTCAGTACTTGGTAACTAACACCAAGTATTTTAAGCTATGCCCTACAATCCAAAATATGTTCTGGCTTTAAATAACCCACAAAAAGTTGATAAGCCATAAAAAAAACTCAGTTCATAAATATTTTGGATAAATAATTGTTCTTTTGCTATCAATTGACAGTTCTTAGCTCTATTTTTGTTTTTTAATTATTACAATAGAATCCCATTATCTGCGGTAGATACACTTACTGCAGATGGTGAAATCTGCCAAAAATTACAGATGATGACAGATGGGACTCCACTCTCTCCCTCACTTACAAATATGTTCAACTGCAAAAAATTAGTAAAGATTTTTATGAGTTTCAGGATGTATAAAGTAATTTTTTTTTTTTTTTTTTTTGTGTTTTCAAAATTCCTCCTCCTTTATTTGCCATGTCCTCTCAAGATGTGGGCGATCATGGCTCTCCACTACGTCCTATCATTTTTAGTTCTAAGCAGTGTTTGTCTCCTTACTATTCCTCCCAGTTCCTGTTTTGCCATTGATTTACACAAGCTTGTTAAGTAGCTTATTGTGGTTGAAGAGAAAAATAAAATTTACTGCCTCACAACCTTCAGTCAACCAGGTAGAAATGTCAGCTTTTAATGGATATGTCACCCCTGTTGACTGGAATAAGATCATCTAGTGCAGCTCCATAAATGCCAATATTTTTTTCTCTCTTGTGAATTTTTTGGTCTGTTGCCAAACCTCTGAGTTTGGGAACTCTGTTTGTCGACCTCTCTGCCTCTGGGTGGAGAGGAACCCAGGTGAGGCTATGCCAAAGGGCAGTCTCATTTGGGGAGGTAGACAACTACCTGACCCCATGTATACGGGGTCTAAAAAACTGCCTTGTGCCATATCCTGCCTTTTAGGGAGGTAACGGGTAAATACCAATTTTTGGTCTGTTTGCCTGGAGAACCTTTGTCACTCAGGATTAACCCCACTCATGATTTTTGCCATTTGATCAATTGTTGAGGAAGTCAAGTAGAGAGTGGAAGAGAAGAAAAATAGATGGATAAGAAGCCGAAACAAAGAAAGACTGTTACTTAATTTAAACTACAGCCATGCTCTGCCTTCCATTTTCCCATTTTGTTTTCAATATCTCCTCTGAGTTTCCAATACCCTCTTTCCTCAATATATGTCCCAGAAATTTCAACTGTCTTGTTCTGATTCAAAGTATAAGTGTTTTTTTTTTGTTCTCATTTGCCTTAAAACTTCCTCATTGCTCACATGTTCCATTCATGTTATTCTCAGCATCCTTCTGTAGAACCACAAATCTGTTGCCTCAAATCTTCTCCATCTGTGAGTAAATTATTCAATATTTACTGCCATATAGAAGATATATAGTAGTTCAGCTGTTTTTCTTTGTTTTTAACAAAATTTTCTTGTTTCTTAATACTTTGTTTAATTTTTAGAAGGCATCATTTGCTATTCCAATATGCCTTCACATTTCGGTGTCATATTTTCCATCATCTGTTACATCACTTCCCAGATAGTTAAATTTTAGTACTTGCTTTATTTTGATGTCTCCAATTCATAAGCTTGCATGTTGTTCTGCCCAATAATGATTAATGGGCAATTTTTAATCATCGTGTCTACAAAAAAAAATGGGGTGTTAAAAGAACGGTTTTTCCCTTGACACCACTATTATTTCAACTACCTCCTCAGCAATGTCTATTGGTTTATTGTTTTTAAAAAGTGATCATCAGAATTTTAATAACACATATGAAAGTGAATTTATACATTTTCTTTGTTCTTGAGAATTTACAATAAAAATAATAAACACTATTTGATTGTTTATTTCCACTATTATGTGTAAAAATTTTAGATAGAATATATCTGTAAAAGAGCTATATGAATAAAGACAGAAGGAAAACTTAACTTACGTGTTTCTTGATAAAGTCCCTCAGCAGATAAAATGCGTCAGCTAACATAAATTTTCTTTTGTCTTTATTCACTATTTATTATATTGTTTATTTGAATGGTTGTCAAAACATTGGTTAATTGCCAATCGATTCAAACTTTATAAAATGCTAAACAATAAGGATTTCATTTTAGCTTGCATATATTAATAATTTAGTAAATGTTTATAAATAAAAAATTGTTTTCACATTTATTTTATTATAAATTGGTAAATGATAAAAATTGCATTGCATTAGTTTTGATACAATTGTATTAGCTTTTAGAATGTTGTAAATATAAAATTATCTGGGAAGTGTTTTAACAGAGGATGGGAAATGTGACACTAAGATCCAAACATGTATTGAACTAGCAAGAGAGGCATTCCAAAAGCTAAGAAAGGTGTTGATAAATGGAATAATTTCATTAGAAACAAAGAAAAGAATGCTGGATTACTATGTAGTATCCACCATGGCAGTGAATTTTAGACAATTTCTAAAAGGATGAGGAAAAAAAACTAGAAGCATCAGAAATAAAAGGAAACTGAAGATTCCATGGACAGAGTGAAAATTCCTTGGACACATAATAAGTAAATGGATGGCAGAATGGGGAAGCAAAGGGAGAAAAACTGTTAAGAGCCACATGAGAGAGAAAGTTGTGGAGAGCCATGATCGCCTATGTCCTGAAGGTTTGCGGCACATAGAAGAAGTCTGTTTTAATTGTAGATGTTGGTTGGGGTCGACTATCATTTCGAATCATCATGTGATTGTGTCCATTCTCAGAATTTGCAGGAACCGTAGAAGTAGCATTTTTCTTCCATCTCTGCATTTTTTGAATTTTAAAATATTTTAAAGTCTTAAAGAAAATGGCAACAGAAAGAACACTTATACTCAGAATCTGGAAAAGTCAGATGAAATTCATTGTACACATAATGAAGAAGGAGGGCTTGGAAAACTTAACACTCACAGGGAATATTGAGGGCAAGCAAGATGGGGGAAGGCAGCAAACCACTTATGTGATGAGCTTGTGTGAATGGATGGAGAAAAACTACTAAGAGGCACTCGAGATAGAAAGTTGTGGAGAGCTATGATCACCTATGTCCTGAAGGGACACAGCACATAGAAGAACAACAAGAAGTCAAAGGTAATAATGTTGTAAAGATCTAGTTTCATGGGGGTGGCTTGAGTTTTGTGGGAGGTGGCATTCTATCAGTTTTGTCTATGATTTCTCATCATTGATAATTATCCTTTAAGAAACAAAACCTCCACACTACCTTGGAGATACATAAAAGCTCTTGAGAAATTATTCAGAAACAAAGATAACATTATTGCAACACCTGATGACAAAGAGGCAGGGGTTGTCATAATGGATATCAACACTTGGGAAAGTGAATGACAAAGTGGAAAAATTCTTCAGAAAGCTTTCATCAGATTAATGTTCTTATTGATGGAATTATATATATATATATATATATATATATATATTTGAATAAAAACAGACCACTTTAAGGTTCCATGTAATAAATTATTTCACCACAGCCCTTTTAAAGGGCTCTGGATCATCAGAATTTACTTCCAAAGGTTAAAATGAAAAGAAATTTACACATTTTTGACGGGCCGTATTAAGCATATGTAAATTAACGAAGTGAGGAAGTGAGGAGGGAGAGAAGACATGAGTGAGTTAGATGTACCATTTCAATTCTTTATCCTTAAGCTCACTTGGTGTGGGCCAGATGACGCTTAACTTAACATATGTTATCTCTAGAGATAGATGGGTAAGGGATGAAGAAGAAACCCACATTTTAGAGTTTTAATTTATGAGACATGTCTGGACACATAATCTTGCCAATCTAATTCAGTTTCCCTATGATTATATTTTTATTTACACTATTTGCATTGTTTGGACTGTTATTCTCATCTTTACTGTCATATTTGTAATATTCTCCAGCCTTCTTCAGGTGATATTTGTTGCAATTTCAAACTGAACCCTTTATTTAGTTCACAAGGGGTAGATTGTTCTAATTCCACATGCCATGCCTTTGGATATTTCGGTTTTAGTTAATTCGCCTTGATAACTCTAAGTTTTTGTTTTCTCTGCTGTGGCTAGGGATTGAACTCACACTTTTTTGGGTTAAATCACTTTTAGGCTCAATCAACCAACATATTTATTCACTGGGCACTAGAGTGTACAATGGCTGAAATGCTGTGAATGTGACAATAAAAATGAGAACAACACCCCAAACAATGTAAATAGTATAAATAGTTGCAATATCTTATCTCAGAATCTGTCTATATTTCTGAGATGAGGTATTATTTACACTATTTATATTGTTTGAACAGTTGCCCTCATCTTTATTGCCATATTCACAACATTTCAACCGTTATACACTCCAGCCTTCTTCAGACGTTATACATTGGAATTTTAACCAAACTTTTCATTTAGTCCACAGTGTGTGGATTGTTCTAGTTCCACGTGCCATGCCTTTCCTGGATATCTCAGTTTCAGTTATTGGGGGGCACATAGCCCAGTGAATAAAAGTGTTTGGTTGAGGTAATCCAGTGACTTGACCCAAAAAAGTTGTGAGTTCAATACCTGGCCACAGCAGAAGTGATCAAAAAGTTGATGAGTTGAGTTACTAAACGGAAATAACTAAATACTGAGATATCCAGAAAAGGTGTGACACATGGAACTAGAACAATCTACCCCAGTGGACAAAGGGTTTGGTTTGGAATTTCAATGTATATCACCTGAAGAAGGCCAGAGTGTCCAGTGGCTGAAACATTGTGAATATGGCAATAAAGATGAGGACAACAGTCTGAACAATATAGTGTAAATACTAATCTCAGAAATATAGACAGATCTTGATTTTGTTTTTATCATTTTTGTTTTTAAGTCTTCCACAATTTGATAACTTTTTAATTTTATTTAGGATATTCTGTGTGCAATAAAAGCATTTATATTCCTTTTTTTTTCTTTAGCTAAGCTCGGTGTGTTGTAAATATACAATTTTCTTTCTAAAGCTAAGTAAGGTATTAAAAAACAGGAAAATTTTGTTAGAAACAAAGAAAAGAGTGCTGAACTATTTAATATCAATTCTTCAGCAATGTTTAGCCTTCATGCCTGCAAAAAAATGGTGTATCAAAAGGATGGTTTTTCCCTTGACACTGCTATTATTTTATCTACCTTCACTCTTTAGCAATGTTTATTATTATAAAAAGTGATGATTAGAATTTTAATAAAACCCAAATATATAAAAGTGAATTTATTAGATTTATCATTTTCTTTATTCTTGAAATGTGACAACAAAAGTTCATTGATATTTTTATAAAATTTATGAATAAAAAATAAACGTCTTTTCATAGTTATTTATAAAATGGTAAATAATAAATATTGCATTGTAGTTGGTTTAAACATTTTGATAAGTTTGTAATTTTTAAACAAATTTTTGAATAAAATGATTTCAGCAAACATAAGTAAACAATAAGACGGAGTGTGTCATATAGCAACAACAAGTAGAAGCTGATGAAGCTTTATTTGACTAATTCAGTTTTAGCACTGAAAATGTTTATTTTATTTAGTAGATGGTTACAAGTGAGGAGGGAGATGTGAGGTGCTTATTTTATTATGACAGGGTGTGAAAAGGACAGATTTTCCCATGATACCATTTCTTTGACAATGTTTATTGTTTTAAAAAGTGACAATTAGAATTGTACTAAAACCTAAACATATGAAAGTGAATTTATACATTTTCTATGTTTTTGAGAATTTCCAACAAAGATGATAAACACTATTTAATAGATTGTTTATTTACAATAAATAAATAGTGTTTAATATTTTTGTTGTAAATAAATCATCTTTTATTTATACCTGGCAATTATCATTTATCTATATCTTAGTATCATATTTTATTTATATCCAGGCATTATCATTTATTTATATCTGGGCATCATCTTTTAATTATATCTGAGCTTCATCTGTTACTTATATCTGGGTATTATCATTTATTTATATCTGGGCATCATCTTTTAATTATATCTGAGCTTCATCTGTTACTTATATCTGGGTATTATCATTTATTTATATCTGGGCATTATCGTTTATCTATATCCGGGCATTATCACTTATCTATATCCATTTATCATCTTTTATTTATATCTGGGCATTATCATTTATTTGCATCTGGGCATTATCACTTATTTATATCCATTTATCATCTTTTATTTATATCTGGGCATTATCATTTATCTATATCCATTTATCATCTTTTATTTATATTTGGCATCATCTTTTAGGAGGTATGATAGAGTAATGGATAGTGGCTCAGATTGAAGAATCGGAGAGCTGAGTTCAAATTCCAGTTGAATCCATTACACTCATTTACATGCTAATACCCTTGGGAAAGGTATGAATCCTCTTTTTCTCCCCCCAGCTATGGGTAAATAAGACGACAGACTGGGTTCTATAGCCTTGGATGGCAACTGGTCTACTGCTGAAAGAAACGGTAACCTACTGCGGGAAGAAATCTGCCTCATCAGTCATGTATTAAAAGATACATGATCGCCTATCATGCATGGCACATTATGGACTGATTGACATCATTTTTTATTTATATCCGGTCATAAGTTTTTATTTATGTAACTAGTTGAAAATAAATGGCATATAAAATCCTGTTAAACTGAAGATAAAATGTGAAAATGTTTTTAATTACTGCTAAAAATATTTATAGGGTGTTAATATTTATAGGGTGTTAATTCAAATCTTGTTGGAGTCTGTCTTTATTTTCAATCTATGTTGTTTGCATAATATTTTGAATCAAATTGACAAGAAAATGCAACACTAATTAAAACAAGTTAGAAATGAATGAACGGATTATTAGTGTTATAATAAAAATAGAGAGACATTAAGTGTAAGCCTTGATATGAACAAAATAAACTATAAGAAAGATTTGCTAAAAATTCTAAGTTTTCCAGTTTTAAGCCTTTTTTATTTTAACAACAGAATCTTATTAGACACACCCCATCTTGTCAATCATAGTGATGGATGGGCCACTTATAATGGGTTAGCTGCACTTGGGTTTCATCATTTAGTTGTCAACCATAATCAGAATTTTCTTGACCCAATGAGTGGGGCCTGTACTAATCATGTAGAAACATACTGGGCAAGAATCAAGAAACACCTAAAGAGAATTGATAAAAGGAGAGATGAAATGGTCACACTTGGATGAGGCAATTTATAGAGACTTTTTTAATTTCAAGGCTAATATGGTTTGGGAGAATATAGACACTTTTTTTTAACATATGTCATTACAATACACATTTTAAATATATTACTATACTTGTTTTTAAATTAATAATGTCACATGACTGCACTCAAATTAAATTTTTAGTGGTTGCATCAAACAACATTCTGCCATTTTAACAACCATTATATACAAACATCTATTTTTTTGTCCAGACATCCTTTACTATTTACAAACAGACATCATATTTTATCTATATGTGGACATCATCTATTTTTTTGTCCAGACATCTACTATTGATAAACAGATATCATATTTTATCTGAATCTGAACATCATCTATTATTTATATCCAGATACTTTGATCTTTAGTGAATATTAGTAGCATGGCCTGGCGTTGCCCGTGCTTGATTCAAAAATCATACGACTCATACAGCAATCGCTATCACTTGACTTAAAATATTTTTGCCCTTCCTTGCCTTTAAAGGAGTGCCCTTTGCCATGCTGATGTTGCTACATACCTTACTTCTTGCCTATCTCACACTGCAAATTTTTTCTAAGCTCTATACTAAACATTAAATCTGTTACGAAAAAAGAACTAAACAAAATGAACACAAAACGATCAGCTTTAAAAAAAGGACTCGTAACTGGAAAAACCGAATGAAAAAAGAATGTTAACAACAAATACTTTTTCACATGCATCCCAGTTCTGCGGAATCACAATCAACATTGAGTTTAAGCAAGCGAATGGGCCAATTGGAGTAAAGTGCCATGCAGATTTAAATTTTTCCTACTTGTGACAAATGCAGCTATCGATTGTTTTTGCATGCTAGCATGCTAGTTAACATTCGTGTCAGTCAGCTGTTGGCTCTCATGCTGGCCAATAGAATCTTCCTGCCTATTCGTGGCAGCCAGCTATAGGCTTTCACTCTGGCCAGTAGAAAATGGCTGCAAACTACATGAAAACTGCCGTAGAAGCATGAAAAAATTGATTATTTCAACTATCGATGGGAGTTGGGAAATGCAAAGTCGGTCTTAGCTTTCCCGCTAACTTGGAGCATGTGCATGTAAATTTTGGTGCAAATCCGTCGAAAATTGCAGCCGTGTATTCATTACACAAACACACACACACACACACACACACATCCTGCCTTTTATAGATAGAGATCTATATGGATGATACAACAGTTTATAGGTGTAATTCCAAAAATCTGGATAACAAGAACCTGGCAACTGATCTCTCCTTTCACCTTTATATCGAGACATTATCATTTATTTATATAATTAGATGAAAATAAATTGCATATAAAATCACATTAAACTAAGATTAAAATGTGAAAATGTTATTTTCATCAAAGCTGAAAATATATATAAATCCTTAATTTCTTACTTAGATGGAATTTTTTTTTATCTGTTGATTTTATTTTATTTTTTATTATATTCTCCTTATCTGTTTATTTTCAATTCATTATTTTTCCCTTTTCCAGGAGAAACGATTTTCTGAGAGTATTGATGAAATGCTAACAAAATTAGATGAATTCTGTGGCCTTGTTGACATGGTGAGTGCGAAATAATCTAATCAATAAAATATCAATTTAAATCTTATCTTGTGCCAAACGTGTGATTTGAAATCCAGATCCACCTTCAAGTAAAACTAAATGTTTTTTTCTATTATCTTTCAAAACACAATTAAGAATTCATGCAATTTTGTTTTTCTGCGACCTTGTTTCATCAAAGATTTCTTCACATATAAGGCGACCTTTAAATCTTAAAAATTACCCGCCAAAATAAGTGTTTGTCTAATACAACAGTTACAAAAAGCTAACCTTAAATCATGTGGTGTATCAGCACTGGTAAGTAAGCTAGTATGCTTGCACCATAGATTGCAGTAGACTAACAACTGCCTCGGTATGGTAATTACTGATGTAAATATTTCCAGTTGAAACAATTCACATTATAATGTTGTACTACAATTATAAATGTAATAAAACTACATTTGTTTCTTGATTCCACATTAAAATGCAATATTCAAGAGATGATTACACAACAATTTGCAAAAGTTCTGCTGAGTAACACACACAAGTAACAAGTAATGTAAACAAATTTTTTGTTCTTGTTTTGTAAGGAGGCATGGTGGAGTAATGGATAGTGACTTGAATTGTGGAATTGGGGAGCTGAGTTCGAATTCTAGTCAAATCAATTACATTCACTTACATGCTAATACCTTTGGGAAGTGTATGAATACTCTTCTTCTCCCCCCAGCTATGGGTAAATAGCAGGACAAACCAGGTTCTATACCCTTGGATGGCAACTGGTATACCGCAGATAGAAATGGCAACCTACTGCGGGGAAAAATCTGCCTCATCAGTCATGTATTGAAAGATGCATGATCGCCTATCACGCATGGCACATAACTGACTGACTTTCCAGTCAAATCCATTACATTCACTTACATGCTAATACCCTTGGGAAAGGTATGAATCCTCTTCTTCCCCCCCAGCTATGGGTAAATAGCAGGACAAACCAGGTTCTCTAGCCTTGGATGGCAACTGGTCTACTGCAGAAAGAAATGGCAACCTACTGCCTTGTCAGTCACGTATTGAAAGATACATGATCGCCTAAGCATGTATCATGCATGGCACATAACTGACTGACTGATTGTTAAATAACAACATTTAGGATGACATACAAATCTATATTCGTATTTAAAATTCATTATCATTGTGCTGTTAAATAACAACAACATTTAGTATAATATTCAAACTTTATTTTTCAATAACATACATTATACAGTATATTTTTTCATTGTGGTGTTAAGTAACAAATCATAAGATACGATAAAATCTTTATTTCTCATTGCAGAAGACACCTACAAACATATTTAAAACCCTTCAAAATTACTATGATCATCGCCATCAGATGCAAAGAGTTCATCATAAGCATCATCATTTACAATTTTGTCATGTGTCCTGTCCCAGTCTTATATACAGACGCCAGATAAAATCACAAAAATTTACCGAGATTTAGGGTCTTATCTATAGGTCACCTTATACGTGGAAATATATGGTATTTAAATGATGGGTTATACAATGTGAATTAGTAGGCCTTATTTATTAGCTGAATTTTCATCTGGAATTTCAATGTTCAATTTCTGTGATTATTTTTTTTTTTAAATTTTTTTTTTAATTGGTATCACCCCATACAAGGCAGTACAACCAATAGTAAGACTTGTATCACTAAATGATTATTATCTCAAAAAAAAAACATTCTTACAATCTAAAAATGTTTTCTGGCTTTTAATAGTAAGACTTGTATCACTAAACCTGCAAAGTTTTAATAAGCTGTAAAAAAAAAAAAAAATCAATCCATCAATCAAAGTAAGTTTTAATGGCCATTAAAAACAGATTTCCGTCAAAATATATATTGGTTAATGAAAAAAAAATCCAGTGGTTTTTATAATTTGTCTAAAACAATCAGACATTCCTTTGATATATGTAGACATACACTTTTCATATATATATATATATATATATATATATATATATATGTATATTATAATTGTTTTTTTTAAACACTGAAATTCCCATGTTTCAAAACTGAAACTTCAATTCAAATTAAACTTAAAATACAAAGTTCCATTCCATTGGAACTTTGTGTTTTAAGTTTAATTTTTATATTTGAATTTGAATTGAACTTTCAGTTTTGAAACATGGGAATTTTGGTATTGTGATGGTAATATATTTTTAAAAAAACAGTTATAACATTATGCTCTACGGTTGTATCGAGCACTGTTTTTTTTTAAAAATAAAAAAAATAAAATTAAATGCTAAGAACTCTGAATTATAAATCTCATTGTTCTTTCCCATTATTTTAATATATATATATATATATATATATAATGTCATCCACAGACAGACTGTTTCGCTGTTTACAGCTCATCAGTCTTGACTAGACATCCGTTTGCCTCTAGCTAGGATCGAAACCCGACTGAATTGGTGTCAGTCGGAGCTTCTAACCACTAAGCCGTCGGGCACGGTAGGAATGGAGGTAGATTTTTAGCGTATTTACTTTTTTATATATATATATATATATATATATATATATATATATATATATATATATATATATATATATATATATATATATATATATATATATATATATATATATATAAAAAGTGTATATTTATATATATATATATATATATATATATATATATATATATATATATATATATATATATATATATATATATATATAATACCAATTTGTAATTGGTCGGGATAATTTTAAGGAGGACATTAATCCAAAGAGAGCTCAATGTAAGTTACAGAGCAATATAATGATAAATCAAGAAAAACCTTAAAAAACCATGTCATTTAAATTTATTTCAGGTTGAAAAAAAAAACTTTCAGCCTGAAGAGATGAATATAACAATATTCATGAAATAAATTATAACCTATATGGATTTTTAACGTTTTTCTTGATTTATCATTACATATATATTTTTTTTGAATATAACATCAATGAACTAAGTAACAAATTTTATATTTGTATTATATATATATATATATATATATATATAATTAATACAAGTAAAAGGTTTGTCACTTGACTAATATTAACTTCAGCATCCCAACTCTTATAAGATTATAAAATTTCTTATTACTATAAACCTTATTTTTAGTGAGCGCGTATGTTTCACATGTTATCACTGTTTTTTTAGAAAAAAATCATTGAAAGTTATGTATCAGTGAATTATGTTTTAATTGCTTTTCACTCTGTATATAAATAGGGTGCATCTGGTTAAAACAGATGAATTTAATGGCATGTTTTTTTTGTTTCCATCAAGGAAATATCTTGTGTTATTTTTTTCTAAATTTCGTTAAGGTGAAATATTATTCTATAAGGGACTGAGCAACATTACGCAAGCTCTAATCAACAATAACTTCTTTCACTACATTGTTGACAAATAAATAAAATTAACCTTAATGAAATTTAAAAAAAATGATACAATTTACTAACCTGATGCAAACAAAAATAAAAAAATATATATTTTCTTATTGTATTTAATATTAATTTAATCAATAGACTATGTTCTTTATTTCTACCAATTTTAACTTTCACAGCTAAGACCCACCATGTCAGGCACATTGTTGTAAATCAGCCTCATTCCATTTGTATTCTGTGGGTAAGAAGAAAGTTGCACTCAAGCAGCTTTTTCCATGAACCATTCCTTTGTGGAAGTGACTCCCAAGAGGATGCTTTCCTGATCATTACAATCTTAACATGTTCATCGCTAGCATTAACCATTATCTTCCCCACATATCCCCAAAAACTGTGCCTCTTACTCTGTAACCCTCTACATTGAGTGGCTTTTGGGCCCTGTACAGGATGAACATCCTTGTAAAAAAAAAAAAAATTTATAGAATTTGGAATTGAAAAATAAACAGTTGTGATTGAAGAAATAAAGTAAGGAAACGTGTTGATAGAAATGTTCTATCCAGAAATTGTATCACAAATTCCTTAAATTTTTTTTTTTTTACCATTTCACCCCAAGTAAGGCTATAAAGAAGTAAGGGGTTACTGAGTGTTAGAGAATATGAGAAAAACAAAACATTAAGGAGAGAAAACAATAGAAGGACAAGAATTAAAAAGACAGAAGTTAACACTTGAAATTGTATTTAAATTTTTGAAGATCAAAGTTGATTGGAAAGCAAGAAATCAGAAGAGAATTCCATAAGCAAGAAGTGTGAGATAAAAAACTGTTAGCATAGAACTTATGGTTACATCTAGCCAATTCAACTCTATTCACACACACACACACACACACACACACACACACACACACACACACACACACACATATAAATCATTACACCCCAAGCAAGGGGTGACTGAATGTCAAAAACATGAAAAAGCATTATTAAGGAGAGAGAACAATAAAAGAAAATGAATCAAAAAGACAGCAGATAATGATTGACATTGTATTTATATTTTTGAAGATGAAAGTTGACTGGAATACAAGAAACCAAAATAGAGTTCCTCAAGCGAGAAGTGCGATGAAAGAAACTGTTAGCATAGAAATTGCAGTTACATCTAGACATATCAGTTGTAAAATGCTGAGACCTTGTTGCCAGTCTAGTACTGTGCTTAAATTCATAAAGTCTAGGCATCAAAGAGAAAAGCTCATCAAAAGAATTAGCATGAAGGTATTTATAGAAAAGGCACAAGGGAGCTATATTACAGCAGTGGAAAAGGGACGGAAGCCGAGATGCCAGGTCAGGAACAATAATACTGCAGATTCTTTTTTTATCAAGAATCTCTGAATATATAAAAGAAAGTATGTCTTACCTTTGTGATGAATGCTAAAACCTTCTTGATGTCTTATTATTTTTCTTCTTCTTCTTCCAAATCACTTTAGCATAAAGACTTTAAGAATTGAAATTAAAGAAGATTGCTTCATGAACACATTATGATTTCAAGTCAACATCAGGAAATACATTTATAAAAATAGAAACTATTCTATGTAAACCACTTTTCAAAATTTGCACAAAGG